AGACAGAGCCCCAGCCACAGTGAAGGCGGCACCTGATGCTGGCGAGGTTCTGTCCTGCCCTCAGGTGTTGCCCCAAGCTGTAGCATGGTGGTCGCTGCTTAGCAACTTGCGCTTGGCGGCGCTGACCCCCGCTGAGCTGCTGCAGCTGCACGCTGGGGCGCAAGCGGTGGCGCTCGACATGGCTGAGAAGGACATGGCCCAGCGCACCGTCCAGTTCCAGCACTGGGTCGAGAAGCAGGCCGAAGGCGGTGGAGGTGGTCTACATGCGGTGTCCCGCCTGCCCGTCGGGTTCGACTCCAGCCCGTACGGCGACGCCGTGGGCGGCCAGGACGCCGACGACCACCAGCAGCTGTTCGAGCCCATGGACCTGGGGCAGCAGGTCACGGCGCTGGAGGTCGAGTGGAGCCGCTGGTGGAGGACCACCTGTGAGCAAGTGCGGCTGCAGTGGCCAGCCGACCTCGGCGAGAGGCCGCCCAGGCCCACGGTCCCCGAGCTCCGCAAGGTGCTGCGCTCGTTCAAGGGCAGCACGGGCATGTCCTTCTGCTCCGTTCGGCCGCGGCAGCTAGACGAGCTGTGCGACGAAGCGCTGGAGGTGCTGATCGACATCCTGTTGGCCGTCGAGCGCGAAGCAGCCTGGCCGCTCATGACAACCAAGATCGGCTTCATCCAGAAGCGGCTCGGCGGCGTCAGGCCCATCGCCGTCATCATGGTGCTGGCGAGGGTGCAGGCGCGGCTGCGCCGAGGCGTCGCGCGCAAGTGGGAGCAGGACAACGACCGCCCCTACTGGTGGGCAGCTGCTGGCCGCAGCTGCGAGCGTGCGGTGTGGCACCAGGCCGCGATCGGCGAGTGGGCCACGCAGCGCGGTGCCGACTGCGGGGACGCCGAGTCGTGGGTGGCCGTGGCGGTGCTGCTCGACCTGCTCAAGGCGTTCGAGCAGGTGCGCCACCACTGGCTGCTGGACGCCGCCGTCGCCGCGGGGTTTCCCCTCTGGCAGCTCAAGCTGACGCTGGAGCTCTACTGCGCGCCTCGGGTCCTCTGCATGGGCAACGCGGCCTCGAGCGTGATCGAGGCCAGGCAGTCGATCCTCCCAGGTGATGGCTTTGCGACGGCGCTGCTGAAGCTTATTCTGATCGGGCCGCTGGATCGCCTGGTATTACATCACCCGACAGTTTCTCTGGCCGTCGTCGTAGACGACCTCATGCTGCACCGAGTTGGCGGGCTCGTGCGTGTGACTAAGGAGGTGGCAGAAGCAGCGTTCGAGCTCAAGATGCTGCTGCTGGACGTTGACCTCAACGTGGCGGTCAAGAAGTCGAGGGCGCTCTCCAACCTCCCAGCAGGCCGGCACGCCCTGGCCGCTCGGCTACGCCGTCCCCTCGGCGTGCTCTCCGTCAAGGGCGAGCGCAACCTGGGCATCGACTTCGCCTGCGGCAGGCGCATCGTGCGCAAGGTGCGGCAGGAGAAGCTGGTTCAAGCAGGGCTACGCCAGCGTCGCGTGGCCATCCTGAAGACTGGGGCTGGGCGCAAGAAGGCCGTGCGCAAGGTGGCCCGTGCTGGGATCGAGCCCAGCGTGACCTACGGCGTCGCGGTCACGGGCTGCGCCACCATGGAGCTGGACACGCTGCGCACGGCGACCTTCAAGGCAGTGGCCCCCAGCGTTGACGGTCGCTCGCGCACGCTGACGCTTATGCTGACGCCCATGCTGGACCCGATGATCAGGGCCACGCTGCTCCCAGTGCTGATGATGCTGCGCGCGGCGTGGGAGTGCTGGATCCCGCAGCATATCATCGCCTACGGCCTCACTTGCTGCCAGGCGGCGAGCTGGTGCCAGGTCAAGGGCCCCTTCAGCGCGGTGAGGCTCACGCTCGAGAGAGTTGGCTGGCAGGTGCTGAGCCCTACTTTGTGGCGCACGCATGAGGGCTACGACATTCATGTCTTCGAGCTGGGGCCGTGGTCGGTCAAGCGCATTCTCCTGCGAGCAGTTCAAGCATGGCAATGGCGTGAGGTTAGCAAAGGGCCTGGCCTGGAGCACCTCGCGAGCGGGGGGGTCATCGCGCCCTTGATCACGATGACCTCCTCGGGTGCCGTCAGCCGCAAGGGCGTCTTCGGTCGGCAGCTGGCTGTCATGGAGGCCAAGGATCAAGATCCTGTGAGGAGGGCGGCTGTGCACGCGCGCATGGTGCTGGAGAAGCGGCTGAGGGCCTACACCACCTTCTGGATCCAGGACATCGCCACGCTTGACGAGGATGGTAACAAGGCCCACTGGCTAAGGCTCTGCGTCTCCTACGTGGCCGACCTGCTGGCGCACGGCACGTGGCTGCCGCTAGTCACCGAGACGGCGCGCTCCCTCGACATCGACAACCTCGGCGTGGCCAGGCTGAAGATGGCCCAGGACCTCTGCGAGTCGGCTTGGTCGGCCAGGAAGCGCATCAGAGCCCGCTACCACGCCAACATGATGCGGCTGGCAGTGCAGGACCCTGACGAGTGGGACGTGCAGGCGGCGCGGCACGCGCAATCCATGATCAGCGCGGAGGAGCAGTTCGACGAGACGCCTGCCAGGCGCGCCGCGGTGGCCTCAGCTGGTGTCGCCGACGCTGCCTCAGTCCCTCCGTTGGCGATGGCGGTCTGCCCAGAGTTGGCGTCAGGACCCGCTGTCCAGCGGTCGACGTTGCCAAGCTTTGCCGAGCTCGGCGTCAGAACCCCCTGGCCAGCGGTCGCGTCGCCACATGCTGAGCTCGAAAGGTCAGGACCCGCTGGCCAGGGGTCTACGTCGCCTGTTTCTGCTGTGCTCGAAAGGTCAGGACCCGCTGGACAGCGGCCAGCGTCGCCACGCCATGGACGAGCAACAGTGCAGACGAACCATGGACCGAATCCCATGGAAGGCAAGCAGTCATCCATCAAGCTCACGCTGAAAGAGCGAGGGTATCTAGCATCCGTTGTCACCGACGGCCAGTGGTGCCAGAGCCGCAAGTACGAGAAGGGCATGGCCTCGGACGACTCGTGCTTGCTGTGCGGCGAGGTCGGCACCCTGCTCCACAGGCACTGTGGCAGCTGCGCGGGTTGGCCGCCAGAGCTGAGGCTGCCCGACAAGATGCGCGAGCTGGCGGCGAGGTCGGACTTGCCCGAAGTGCGCTGCCTGCTGGAGCGCGTGCTGTGGGCGGCGCCGACTAGCATCGTCAAGCCAGCCCCGTCGCCGCACGTCTGCTGGCTGGGCGAGAGCGACGGCTTCTTCCCCTCTGGCGAGCTCTACCTGGACGGCTCGCAGTACGAGGGCGACTTCGAGCAGTACGCGAGCGTCGCCTGGGCCGTCATCGCGCTCGAGGCCGACGCCGACGCCTTCCTGTGCGGGGCGTCGGGGATGCTGTGCGAGCCCCACGTCGACATCAACGGCGGTGAGCCCATGGCGCTCCTGATGGTCCTCAGGTTCGCGGTGCCGCCCGTCACCGTCGTCGTGGACAGCGGCTTCGTGCACCGCGGCCTGCTGGAGCTGGGCCCGAGGCGCACCACCGCGCACGGCGCGGCGTGGGCCCACCTCTGGAGGGAGGTCTGGGCCAAGCTGGAGGACTTCGGCGGCCTGGGCGACGGCGGGCTGAAGGTCAGGAAGGTCCCCGCCCACCAGACGCAGAGGGAGATGGTCGCCCACGGGAAGATCTCGTACCGCGACTGGCTGGGCAACGGCATGGCGGACAAGGCCGCCAAGTCGGCGGCGGCGGCAGGACGGATCCGCCAGCAGGATCGCAGGAGGCTCGTCATGGCCGACAAGCTGGTCGAGGGCGTCGCGCTCTGGGTCTCGGCGGTGGGCGGCGCGCTGGACGGCAGGGACACCACCCACCGCGTGGCCAAGCCGCAGCGCCCCGCGCCGAAGGCGCTGCTGGCGCAGCCGGCCGCCAGGCTCTCCTGTGCCTGGCGCGGGGAGCCTGGCAAGCGGTGGTGCAGCCGCTGCCGCTGGGTGGAGCGCTCAGGCGAGTGCCCAGGCACCATCGTGCCAGCGGCGCTCCAGCACAACGCCGAGCTGGCCGCCAGGGGGCTCAGCACGCACGTGCTCGTGCGCATCGAGCCCGAGCGTGACGTCGAGCTGCGCCGCGACATGCCGCTGGTCGCGTGCGCCGCCTGCGGAGCCTTGGGGGCGGCCAGGGCCTCCAGCTTCGCGCCGCCGTGCGGCCGCGCGTCGGCCAAGGGGCTGCTGGCCGTGGCGCGCCTGGAGAGGCGGCTCGCCCCTGCGATCTCGGGCAAGGTCGCGGTGGCCATCAACCCGCTCAGGAGTGAAGGGTGACGGCCAGCTTCCCCTCCTCCTGGCGCGGCGGGCCGACGGCCTGTGTGGCCCGTGAGGCCGTCGCGCTGGCGGCACGCCGAGCCCGAGGGGCCGTGGCGTGCGGGCGCTCGCTGAGAGCGCGAGCCCGTCGCGCGTGGGGCGCGCGGCGAGCGCGAGCGGCGGGTCACACGCGCCGCTTGAGGCTCGTGCATCATCCTCCTCCTCCTCCTCCTCCTCCTCCTCCTCCTCCTCCTCCTCCTCCTCGTCCTCCTCCTCCTCCTCCTCCTCCTCCTCCTCCTCCTCCTCCTCCTGCGCTTCGTCCCGAGCCGTCCCCCGGCTGCCCCATAGGGCCCGCGCAGGGCGAGGAGAGGGCCTTGTGACGGCGCGAGCCATCGCAGGGCCGTGCTTCCCGCAGGAGGCGCAAAAAGTTAGATGATCATTCTGGGGACCTTCCTGTAGCCACTGGCTCCACTCGTGCGTCGAAGCTGCGTCGAACCTGAGTAGAACCTGAGTCGAACCTGAGTCGAACCTGAGTCGAATCTATGTCGAACCTGAGTCGAACTTGAGTCGAACCTGAGTCGAACAGATCCATTAAGTGGGCCCCAGGAAGGTCCCCAAAACGAGCATCGAAAAAAAGAACCCCCACACCGCTGCTCATGACCATCCGCGCGGCGACTCCAGAATCTCCAAAGGGGGCGCACAGCGCCTACAGGCCAGGGCGGCCGGCGCCACCCTCGAGCTGTCACTGCTTCGGGCTCTCTGGGAGCTGCCAGGGCACGATCTCTACATTCCAGGCCCGAGGTGCGAGTCCCCAGGCTCTGCGTCGTCCTGCACGGGTTCGCGGGGGGCGCCCCTGCTAGTGGTCTGGGCTGATTGAGGGATCTGCCACTCCCTGGACCTCTGCGGGCTCGCCTCCTGAAGCGAACTCCTACGAGAATCTCGCCGTGGCGACGAGAGCTCTCCTGGACGAGCGGCATTGGTATACCTCTTCCCCTGACGTTTCCTTCATGCCGAGCCTCCGCATCGCCGTCCTCCACCCGCAGCGCCTGCGAGGCGGCAGAGACCGCCAGGGTGGCCATGTCCTCCGCGCCCGTGGCCGCGGCCGCCTGCAGGATCGGCCAGCATCGAAGCGGGACATCGGGCCGGGGCGCGGCACGCGCCCGGGTCGGGCTTCCTCCGCAGAAAAAAAGGTATCGAATCGACTCGGCCGCGCCGGAATGCACGGCAGCGCCGCGCGGGCATCGGGCCGCAGCGGATCGCCGGAGCCTCGGGGCCGAGCCGGGCCGGGCTGGCCGGGATCGACGGCGGATCGGCGCCGGATCCGGGAATCACGGCGGGCACCGGGCCGGCGTCGACATCGACGCGGATCGGTGGGGATCGGATAAGTGGGCCCCGGCCTGCGCCCCCTCGGCGAGCCGCAGCCCCGGCGGAGGCGCTGCCGCCCGGGCGCACTGCTCCGTGCCCTGGCCGTGGGGGGCCGGGGACCTCTTGGTGCGGCGCTCGCGGGGCCGGACGTTCTCCGCGCCGCGCCTATCGGGCCGGACGACGACGACGCCGACGCCGACGCCGACGACGACGACGACGACGACGACGACGACGTCGCCGTCGAGGACGAGGACGAGGACGACGACCTCGACGACCTCGACGACTAAAGCCTTGACGACCTCGGGGGGATGGCAAAGTAAGAGAGCAACTCCTGGGAAATCTTCGCGAAAACGATTGACGGGATCAAGCCGTGATCAATTGAACGGGGTGGGACCATGCCGATCAGGCAGGTCTTCGACCGGGGATCTGCCAGCGCCGATGCTGAATTCGACCTCCTCCCAGGAGTTGCACACTAACACAAAGAGGGGGCTGGTTTCTCCAGCGCCTGCCGGCGCCGGAGACGCCAGCGCGTCCCTATAGGAGAGCGCTCGGCGGCGGTGGCCGACACCGGCTGCACGCAGCAGGTGTCGTGCCCCCATCCGGTCTCAATCCTCGGAGCCAGGCGAGGTGAGGCAGCGGCATCTCGAAATCAGCCCCCAGACTCAGACCCCTCCTGGGGTCCCAACGCGCCAGTTGTCCCAGCTGCGCCCAGCCGTGGCGACGACGGGCCCCCCCGAAGGCACACTGCCGTTGTCTCAACTCACCCCGCTCTGAATACTGAAGGGGAACTGGAACACACAAATAAATACACACAAATAAAACTATCCCCATATTTTCCCATATTTTCTGGGTTTTTGTCTTCCCCACCACTTCCCATATTTTTGCATATTTTCCTGGGAGTCGACGATTAATTGTGTCTGTGTGTTTCTTTCCCTCCTGAAATACGGCCCCCCCCCACTTCGTCCGACCCGAGCCTCTTCAGGACGTTCACGGTGGACCTGTGCTTGGAGCGCGCGGCATAGTACAGCGGGGTGTGGCCGTTCAGGTCCTCTCGGGCGCACGCTCGAAACGGATCTGGGGCTCCGTGGAGCTGGCCCGTGGGCGCCAGGTTCGGGTCGGGCGAAAGGGGGGGACAGCAAAGGGGGGGGTTGAGAATCAGCTCACCTAGCTGATTTTCCCGGCGCCTCCCGGCGCCAGGAGGCGGCCATGTGTCGAGGAATGGGCTCCTCGGTGGGGCCGAAACCAGCTGCATGCAGCAAATTTCGTAACCCCCCCTTTCCCAATCCCCCCCTTTCGCCCGGCCCGACAGGTCCACAGATCTGGCAGGGCACGGCAGGCTCGTGTCGTGCCGACTGCGGCGCCGGTCTCTGACACCGCGGGGGTCGCTCAGACTGGAACGAGCGGCGGCTTCTCGACCACCACATCCGCCTCCTCCTCCTCCTCCTCCTCCTCCTCCTCCTCCTCCTCCCTCCTCCTCCTCCCTCCTTCCCCTCCCCCTCCTCCCCCTCCCCCTCCTCCCCCTCCCCCTCCTCCTCTAGTAGCCACCTCCTCGCCCGCGTGGGGGTCGCCGCCGGTCGACACGACGCGAACCTGCCGTAGCCCTGAAGCACGGCGCCCGCGCCGCCTGATTCGGCGAGGCAGCGCGCCGATTCTGCATGGAAGCGGGGCCCGTCGCGGACCCACGCGACTTGATCTGTGCTTGCGTCTCCTCGATCACCCCCCATCCCCCCACCTACTCCTGCACCTTCTCGTCCCCCTCCACGCGATGCTCCTTCGCTTGGTTACTCATACGTAGCGGGAGGCGGAAATGTAGGAACTGCGTGCGCCTCCGTGGTGGCGGCCAGATCCACGCGCCTCAGTCCGTGTTTGCGTTTCCTCGATCCTGCGACTGCAGCAGGTTGTTCTTCGCGTCTATGAGGCAGCTCACGGCGTCGTTCAGGCCGGCGCACGCGGCCAGATGCAGGGGCGACTGTCCCTTGCTGTTCACGACGTTCACGTCAGAACGCCTGGCGATGAGGAGCTCGCAGATCTGCCGCGTGGGCGCGAAGAACAGCGGCGTCTGCCCGTGGCAGTCCTGTGACAAGGAAAAGCGGCATGAACATAACCTTTCGGAGGGGGCTCGCAGACTTCTCGGATCGGCGCTGGAGGCGCCGCCGGGGGGAATCGAGCGACAGTCCCAGAAATCCTTGCAGGACTCCGAAAGCTTGGGCCGAGAAGGCATATTCTTATCCGAGATCCCGAACGTCGATGTCGGCACCAGCCTCGAGCAGCTGCACGACGCAGTCCCCCTTGCCGTCGAACACCGCCTGGTGCAGGACGGCGACCCCGCGCGCGTCCTTCTGGTTGGCGTCCGCGCCGCTCCGCAGCAGCAGCCCCAGCAGCTCCATGTGGTGGGCCTGCACCGCGAAGCGGATCGGGGACAGGGGCCCCTCCCATCTGTTGGGGCTCGCGCCTGGTGGGCTGGGCACCAATCCATCTCCTCCTCCTCCTCCTCCTCCTCCTCCTCCTCCTCCTCCTCCTCCTCCTCCTCCTCCTCCCTTTCCTCCTCCTCCTGCTCCTCCTCCTCCTCCTGCTCCTCCTCCAACCGCACGCGCTCCGACACTTTGGGCGCCCGAGTTATCCGGGGTAACTCGGGTCCGGGGTAACTCGGGTTCGGGTTCCCGAAAAAGGAACCCGAGTCAGCCCTGACCCGAGTTACCCCCGATGATTCGGGGCTCTGGACGCCCGGAATATCCGGGGTAACTCGGGTGCGGAGTAAGTCGGGTTCTCGGGTTCGGGTTCCCGAAGAACGAACCCGAGTTAGCCCTAACCCGAGTTACCCCTGATGATTCGGGGCTCTGACCAACCGCACGTGCACCGACACTTGCCCTGGCCCATCCCCTCCCTCGCCCAGGATCGCCTGCAGGGGCGCTCCAGGGCTGCCCGGGAGGGCGTCGTTTCTACGACCCCAGCCTGGCCAGGGGCAGGAACGAGAGCTTTCAGCACCGAATCGGGGCATCGGACGAAATCGGCATGCGCGTCGGACTGGGCTGCATGCGCACGAAGTCGACGTCGAGTCGGAGCGGCTCCGCCAGGATGAACAGTAGCGTCAAGCATCGGGCCGCATCGGACCGTCGGAACGTCGGAGCCGAACCCGGTCAAGCCGCCTGGCATCGACTCCGACCCGAACCGATGCTGGACCGAAAGGGACCCCGAGGGGCTGGTGCAGCTGAGTAGGGCCGGGAGCCAGGTCTGCAGAACACTCCAGACGGACGTGAAGGGGCGAAGCCTACCTGTTCGATGCACCACACCCGGCATCGAGCCAAGACTTTGGACACGAGCCAACGGCTGGATGCTGCACATCCTCGCCGGCTTCACCGGCGAGGCGTTCGACCTCCTCGGCGTCCCTGGACCCTCGGCCCTACTCGGGGTGCAAGCGTGCCGCTGGCGCCCGCTCGAGCCTTCCGCGAGCGCCCGCTCCACGTCGTCCAGCGTGCCCTGGCCGCTCACCAGCCCGCGCACGGGCGCGAAGAGGTCCGCCATGCGCCTCGAGCAGGGGATCGACTGCATAATGGACGCACTCCAAGTCCATCATCCATCGTCCCCCAGGTCCGGTCTTTCAGGGCGCATTTTTTGTACCTGGGGAGGTCGGGTTTTATCAGGGCGCTTTCTTTGGATTGGAGCTTCGGGGGCCCGGTTTATTAAGGCGCCCCGTCGAAGAGGGGGGTCCGGAATATTAGGTCGCATTTGGAGGGGGGTCCGGTTTTTGAGGGGGGGGGTCGATACACAGGGGATTTGGAGTGGAGAATTGACCTACCCCCCAAGACAGGATCTTCCCCGTCGAACAACTGAATCTACGACGACGACGTAGAAAACAGCCTCGTGAGTCGACGGGGAAGTCTGCACGTGCTCCAGAGGTCCGACGAGGAAGCCACTTTGGGGGTAGATGCGTGGCGCAGTCGAGCCCCTGCACTCGAGTGCCTCGCGCGCCGCGTGCGGCCCCGCCCGGCGCGTCAGCCCACCGCCATCTCGCGGGCTGCGGCCCCCGCGCCCCAAGCGGGGGCGGCCCGGGCCCGAGGCTGCCTGGGCCGAGGCTCGGGCACCACAGCGTGCGGCCGCCGTGCGGCCCCGCAGCGCACGACGGCAGCCAGAGATCCGACGCATCCCCCCCAACAAAAAAGGGAGCAGGCGGTCTTCGCCTGCTTTCAGCCTCTGGGGGCCCTCGGCCGCGGCCTCGGGAGCGTCAAAGAACGACGCAGGACGAAAAACCGGCCCGGGGGAAGAGGTCCGGACCTCCGGGGCCCAAGCATCGACAAAAATCGGAGCAGCCAGATGACTGGGAACGCCGAGTGGCCGCGGGAAGCCTCGAAACACAGAGCTAAGCGTCTTCGCTGCTACGTAGCTAAGCGTCTTCGCTGCTGCGTAGCCAAGCCTCCCGAGGCCAGAGCTGCCAGTAGCTAACCGTCTTCGCTGCCACGTAGAAGGATCGAGCTCCCGAGCGAGGCAGGAGGACGCCGATGGCAGAACCGGCATCCACCATCGAATCGGGAAGTCGGTTCGAATCGGAGCGTGCGTCGGGCCGGGTTGCGTCGCCACGCATTCGAAACCCATCCGGATCGACCCCGGCGGACTCGACACTCACCCGCTCGGATAGGAGTGGACCCCTTGTACGGCGAGGAGGACGCCGAGGACCAGGAGGAGCAGGGCAACGAGGAGGCGGCAGCCCGGGGCCACCGTATGGCAAAGTCCTGGCCGCTGCAGGCGGGGGCAGCGGCGTGGTGGGGAAAAGGTGGCAAAACTGCGGCGGCGGGCCGCTGGGTGCCCTGCCGTGTCCTCCAGATCGGCTCGCCCTTCGTGGTGCCACTGCCTGGCAACTCCTATGTTGCTGCGTGGTCCCACCCATGGAAGCCCAAAAGGAAGCCACGGGGAAAGCGCACGGAGCTCCATTAACTCACATGGATCACTGAGCCAAACTGAACAAATACAGCCGATATAGGGCCAAGGTAACAACACTCCCCACAGACCCCTCCGTTTGCCCAGACGACTGCTTCGTCGGGTTATTCCCAACCCTTGTGGCAAATAGTTGTAAGACGTCCATAGAAACTCGTGCTAATCCTCGTGAGTCCGCAAGAGCCCGTGGGGATACACAGGAGCCAGTGCGGGCCATAGGGTTCGGTGGCAATCCGTTGGTAATCTGCGGGGCACCATGGGAGACCTGAGGAATCTACAGCTGTTCCCAAAACGCTGCTTTCACGAAGGGTCTACACCCAGACATGCGACGTCCTGAGTTTTTCATGAGGGCGTCCCTGCAAATCCCGACCCTTTTTTCCCCGGGACCGGTCTTTCGTCCTATGAGTCGTTCGTCGACCGGTCCCGAGGCCCGGCGAGAGCGCCCCGGGGTCGAGAATGGCCAAAAACCCCGCGCCCTGATCTCTTTTCACGACGCGACCGTGTCTGGGTGACTCGCGGCGCTGTCGAGGAATCCGATGGGTGCCTATAGGGGCTTTGCCCCGTGCCGGCGTGGCGACACACCGTGGGCGCCTGGTGGGCGCCCCGTGCGCCGGGTGGGGGGCCCGACGGAATGTCGCCAGGTGCCCGCGGCCCGCTGCCCGCCAGCGGCCGCCGCTGGGCGCCTCTTGGGCGACAGGTGCGCCGGGTGCATCACGTAGCTTGCACCACACGGGTGGAGAAGGGAGGAGGAGGAGGAGGAGGAGGAGGAGGAGGAGGAGGAGGAGGAGGAGGAGAAGAGGAGGAGGAGGAGGAGGAGGAGGAGGAGGGAGGAGGCGGAGAACAGGAGGAGGAGGAGGAGGAGAAGGGCCAGGAGGAGGAGGAGGAGGAGGTCTTTTTGCAGCGCGGCCACCAAAATCCAGAAGCGCCAAGCGAAAGCCAGAGACCGGGGAGGCGAGGCAGGGCCCAGGTGGCCAGGGCGGAGAACGGAGAAGGGGCGGAGAAGGGGGAAGGCGGTGCTCCCTTCCTCCTCCTCCTCCTCCTCCTCCTCCTCCTCCTCCTCCTCCTCCTCCTCCTCAAGCCCGTTCTTTTCTTCTTCCTCCCCCCCTCCTCCTCCACCCCTCCTCGGAACGGGGGGGGAGGAGGAGGAGGAGGAGGAGGAGGAGGAGGAGGAGGAGGAGGAGACGGAGGAGGAGGAGGAGGAGGAGGAAAAAGGAGGACGAGCCTCCTCCTCCTGCTCCTCCTCCTCATTTCCCTGTCCCCTCCCCCTTTCGTCCGGCCCGAGCGTTGGGCCCCCGGCCCCGGGGAACTGGTTCTGGCCGAGCCACGCCTCGGGTGCGGCAGAGAGGCTGTGGCAGAGCGGGAGGGTGGCAGAGGGGCCAGGGCAGAGGGCAGGGCGCGAGCAGATCGGACGCGAAAGGCAGGCTCGTATCGTCATCGTCGTCAATATCCTCCTCCTCCTCCTCCTCCTCCTCCTCCTCCTCCTCCTTCTCATCATCATCGTCATCATCAGCATCACAATCATCCGCATCATCATCATCAGCATCATCATCATCATCATCACCATCATCATCAACACCACCATCATCAAAAACATCACCGTCACCATGCTCAGCAGCAGCAGCGTCATTACCATTCTCAGCAGCAGCAGCGTCATCATCACCATCGCCATCACCGTCATCATCATCAACAACATCATCGTCGTCACCGCCATCACCGCTATCCTCAACATAATCACCATGATCCACATCACCATCCTCAGCGATAGCAGCGGCATCATCATCATCAGCATCACCATCATCATCAACAGCATCGTCATCATAATCACCACCATCATCACCATCAGCATCATCAGCATCATAATCATCACCATCATCACCATTACCATCATGTTGATCAGCATCACCACCACCATCATCATTATCATCATCGCCATCAGCAGCCTCCTCACCATCACCAT